TCATGTTTTTGAAAAGTAATACTTAAAATAGTTGTATAATTAAATAATACATTCTAATGAGAAATAAAATTTGGAATAAGCATTGAATCCAATAATTTTCTTGCTTCTGAGGAAATATTTCTTTCAGGCCATTGTAATATTTCAGTAATAGCAAATAATTGGCTCTTCTAACTCCTTAATAGCTGTTAGTGCTTGATGGAAGAGGCTCTATCTCGTTGGACAAGGTTGAAATTTCTTTTTCCCTGTTGGACCAGAAGTTTCAGAAATAATTATTATTTGACTAGAAATTTGAAAATGGTAGATAAATATTACGCCACTAAAAATTTAAAAATAATAAGTAAATATTACGCCGGAAAACTTGAAATCGAAATTAATTGATAAAATAACTTATGAATGTGATAATAAATGTAATATAATATATATTTAATATGAGATACGAATAAATATTAACAAATATAAATTAATAAAACAATAATATTTTTGAAAAATATATCCGGCATCTGCATTTTTTGGCTTTGGGGGCTGATTTGTCCCCCTGCCCCCCCCCCCGCTGCGTACGCCAATGCTTCAGGAGTATTACTACTATTCTGGTTATAAAGAAGAAATAAAGTATTTGTATATGTTGAATTTGAAACACTGGGGAAATCTGGTTTAAAATAAAATATAAAAATGAAGAGTTAAATTAGTAGGCTAGAGTTAGTAAAATATTCATTAAATTTATTATATTCATCAGATAAAAGAATAATTTATCAATCCATTGACATTATATGATGAACTTTAAATAGAATTTTAAATTAAACCTTTTAATTTTAAGTTTACAATATTTATTATCATTCATTTTTTACTCATTTCATCGGGATTAGAATCGATCAATAAGTTATCATTTAACGGTGAGCTTGGTGTAACACTTTGAATAAAACCTTTAAAAAATTTTAGGAATTACTATTATATATTAATTCTGACATATTTTATTATTACTGATTTCATCAGGATCAGATTCTATCAATGAGTTTTCGCTTGATGATAACCTCGGAAGAATATGAACCAAACCTTTATAGAATTAGGGGGTAAATATATTTAAATATAATGATTTTTTATTTGGAGGCTGGTGGCGATGCAGAAGTTTAAATATTCTGAAAATTATAAAAAAAATTTATTAATTTCGATAATTTTGAATTAAATCTTTAAAAAAATTAGGAGTTACAATTTATATATTAATTCTAGCATATTTTATTATTACTGATTTCATCAGGATCATATTCTATCAATGATTTTTCGCTTGATGTCGGAAGCGTATGAACCAAACCTCTATAAAATTAGGAAGTAAATATATTTAAATATATAATGATTTTTTATTTGGAGGCTGGTGGCGATGCAGAGGTTTAAATTTTCTGAAAATTATTAATTTTTTTTATAAATTTTGAATTAAACCTTTAAAAAATTTAAGAGTTACAATAATATATATTTAAATCTAACATATTTTATTATTACTGATTTCATCAGGATATTCTAATGAGTTTTCTCTTGATGTTAACCTCGGAAGAGTATGAACCAAACCTTTATAGAATTAGGGGGTAAATATTTTTAAATATAAAATAATTATTTTTTATTTGGAGGCTGGTGGCGATGCGGAGATTTAAATTTTTAAAAATTATATAGCCCTTAAGAATTTTAATTATTTTTTTATAAATTTCGATATATTATTTTTTATATTGAGCCCTCTTAAATATTATAGATTTTTACTCATTTCTTCATGATCAGAATCCACATTAACTATTTCTGGTATCACTTCCTGTTCGCTATCAACCGAATAAGGTGTTCTAGCGAAAAATACATTAAATGGGGTATTTTTAATTGTTCTAGAAAATCCTAGATTGATATTAAATACAATTTTAGGGAGCGCAGTCGCCCAATCATATTTTTTTGTTTCCAACATGTAACCGCTTATTCGCGACTCTAAAGTTCCATTTGCTCGCTCAATTAAACCATTGGTTTCTGGGTGGCGTGGTCGCGAATGTGCGAATATTACCCCTGGAAAATCATCCTTTAACATAGATTCAACCATTTTATCTACAAATATTTTTTTAGACAAATCAATAATTTTATTTACTTTTAAATTCTCGTCCATTATCACTTTGTAAAATTTTTGGAGGACCGAAAGTAAAAAACAAATTTCGTATAACCCTTACTGTTTGTTCCCCTTGTTTTGATATAAGAGGCTTTGCGTATGTAAATTTAGAAAAATGGTCTTTAAAGTGAATTATGTATTTAAATTCTCCATCAGGAGTGCTACTAAAATCAATAAGATCCATTACAACTCGACCCCATACTGCCGTTGACTTTATAGCTTTACCAGTTGGGGCCTTCGGCAACGTCGTCTTTAATGAGCATACCTCACAATTTTTTATATAATCTTTGAGCTTATTCACTGGAACAGTTGCATATATTGTTTCAATCGATTTGATAGTTGTGTTCACTCCTAAATTTTTGGGAAAATAAAAAGATTACTAGTGCAAACCGTGTTTTTTATTCGCATAATATTTATTAATTATACTTAGTACTTGTATATTCGATTCGTTCATATTAATATTAATTTAAACAAATTTGAATAAATAATATTACAGTTAATATTCTATAAATTTTGAAATACTACTAGAATAAACATAGTATGTATTTTCAAACGAGAATATATTATTGTCATAAAAATAACAATACACATACATTTTAAATAAATAAACATTAAGTATAAAAATAATTTGCATTCAGCTAATATTATTAGCGCTACACGCACTATCATAATAAAATTTTTAAAAAATTAAAGTTTAAGCTAATATTTTCTATTTTACATGTCAATAAAAACACATGTTGAACCAATTTATAACATGGTTCAGTTGAATTCAAGTTATTAGGCCAAAATTTTAAAACGGTAAGTTGAGTTTGTTTTTACATTTCATTTTGGTAATGATGATAATCTATTATATTGATAAAACTAATTTACATATATCATTTTATTAGTATTATTTCTACAAAAATTAACCTAGTTCCCTCGAAATAAAAATAAACCTTCATTTCTTTTTTTAATTATAGATTTTTTGTTGATTTAAAATTTGTCACTTTTTATTATTATTTTTTTAAAAATTATATTTCAATTCATCCGCAAATTCTGTCAACACATTCCTATAAGATCTTATTTTATTTCTTCAATACGAGGTATACCCTTTTATTTTATTTTTTTTAAATGATTTTTACACTATATTTTTATAATTCAGCATAAGAGTGATAGGGGCCCGTTAATTTCCCGAACCATTTTTGAAATAAATCATGTATCTTCATTCTGGTTTGGGGAAATTGATATTATTTTTTGTTTCGTTTCGGTTAATATAAGTTTTTTTATATAGAAAAAATAAAAACCGAATAAAACTAAAAAAAATAAGCTGAATTTCGTTATATTTTAGTATAAAACTTGAAGAGAAATAACAAATGTAATACCCATTTCTTTTTTAATTTTTAATACTATAAATAAATAAAATTTAAAAACCTAAGGGTGTGTCTTAGTTCGACTCATTTTGATACTTATTTCTGTTTAGCCTAGGCTAGACAGCTTTTGAACTAGGAAACTCTATTTTGGTATGTTTAGTATTTCATGGCATTGTTATTTTTCATATTTTTTTTGTGTTTTTCGATTTGTTTCTTTCGTTTTATTGTTTATATCTTACTTTTGAAGCTGTTTAGACGAAGCTATTATAGCTATCCAAACAGTCGGCTGTTTACCAATAAGTCGAACCAGGACATTTAGATATTTATAAAGTTTCTCTTCCTTTTCGATTAAATTATAACCATGCGCAGAAAGTAAAATATTTTCCAAGATCCGACGCAACCAGTTTTTCCCTTAAATTCCTAATCCGAACATAATTGACAAAATAGATTTACCCTAAAATTTATTTATTTTTTTGTATATTATTAAAAAATATCTAATTGAAAAATTATTCTTATAATCTTTAAAAAAAATTGTAAAATAATCTTAAATGAAAATTGTAAAATTATCTAACATTCAAATTATAAAATAATATACAATGAAACCATGATTTATTGACATTTGCAAATTCCTGGTACGCCTCCAGCCCTGCCTGGTGTTATTTTTACAAAACAATTTAGGTTCGGGCTGGGTAAGGCCTAATATTTTTAAAAAAAATTCTGGCTGGTTCGGATTGTAAATGAAGTTATTGGAATACAAATAAAAATAATAGTATATATTATAATTTGAATCGTTAGAAGCACGTGCACTAGTTAAGAAAAATAGTAATTCAATAAACATTTACCTGTATGATTTTTATCATTGTGATGTTTCTTAAATATTTCATCCAATTCGGATAATATAATAATTGGCTTGTTTTTTTTCGAGCACATTATAATATTATTTTTTAAATAAAAAAGTCCTTTAATTTTAGATTTTAGTTTGGCATCTATTCCAGGAATGATTGTATAGTTGTTAGTCATTAGAATTTTTTTATAAATTTGATATTGGGTTTGATTTTCAGGCATAACTAATTGGGGCATTATTAAAAATGATAATATTTTGAATTTATTAATATATAAAAAAGAAATTTGAAATTAAGTAAAAAAAAAATATTCTAAATCTTCACTTCCCCCCCCCCCCTTTTATAATTTTTTTATCTTTTCCTTTTTTTGATGATAAAAAAAATTTTCTTGGAAATATATTTTTAGAAAATATTCCAAAATTGAAAGAATATGTTTGTTAGTATTTTTATCATTAATCATTTCCTTAAAAAATAACAGATATCCTCCCATATATAATTTTTATATTAAATAAAATGGAAATGACATTTAATAATATTATTAAAAATTTAAAAAATATTTTAAAATAGAGAAGGAGAAAGAGGAAGAATTAGCTATCGATGAATACCCATATCATAAAAAATTATTTTTTACACCCCCCCCCCTACCCCTACCCCCCTAGATTACCCATTATGGGGCAGAGATTGACCTCCAATTGAATAGATCCTTTGATTAGCTATCAATTGATACCCATATTTAAAAAAATATTTTTTACAACACCCCCCCCCCCACATCTACCTCCCTAGACCGCCCATTATGGGGCAGTGATTCCTCCAGTTGAATAGATCCTTTGATTAGCTATCGATTGATACCCATATTTAAAAAAATATTTTTTACACCCCCTCACCCCTACCCCCTAGACCGCCCATTATGGGGCAGAGATTGACCTCCAGTTGAATAGATCTTTTGATTAGCTATCGATTGATACCCATATCAAAAAAAATATTTTTTACACCCCCCCCTCCCACCCCTCCTAGACCGCCTATTATGGTGCAAAGATTGACCTTCAGTTGAATAGATCATTTGATTAGCTATCGATTGATACCCATATCAAAAAAAATTATTTTTTACACCCCCCCCCCACCCCTACCCCCTAGACCGCCCATTATGGGGCAGAGATTGACCTTCAGTTGAATAGATCTTTTGATTAGCTATCGATTGATACCCATATCAAAAAAAATATTTCTTACACCCCCCCCCACCCCTACCCCTTAGACCGCCCATTATGGGGCAGAGATTGACCTTCAGTTGAATAGATCTTTTGATTAGCTATCGATTGATACCCTATACTAGACATATCTTATATCATAAGGCCAAAAAAACAAAATTGAAAATTAAAAAACGCAACGAAACTCGTGGAAAACGCTTTTAAAATAAGATTCCTCTTTATCACGATTAAAACGTGATAATCCTTTAAAAAATTGAAATTTTAAAGGGATCCCTTTAAATCCCGTGAAGATCCCGGATAGTCATGATCCCTTTAAAAATTACGACATATATATGGTGAATTTATTATATGACAAATCATCAAAAAAAACACTATTTTCAACCCGACCTCCTTAGGTTTTTCTAAAATTTTTACAAGTTTGTTTATATTATAACTAAGAAAAAAATAAAATTTTAGCCTCCAACTCCAAACAGTGGCTGAGTACTCTAAAAGTCGAAAAGGGGGCATTTTGGGAAAAATGCTCTCTCTTTAATTTTAAATATCTTTAGATATAATTGAGCTAGAAGCGCCATTTAAATTTATTTATATAGCATGGTAGACCTTTATATTTATTAATGTTAAATATTGTTAAAAACAATTTTAAAAACCGGAAATGGTCCTAAAATCAAATTGGTATTTTTCTTTCTCTTAAATTTTTTATATATTAATAAATAAATATGCAAATTTTCAAGTTGGGCCGAGTTCAGGTTTCTTAGATATGATCATTAGTCAATTGTTAAAATTCGTAATAAATATTTGATAAATCATTATTTGTAATATATTTAAGCAAAAATCTTTATATTTTATGTAATTAAATCAGAGACATGCAGAGGTACCATTAGCATAGCCCAGCCCGAGTTTTATATTTTCAGGTTAGGCGAGGGCCTGTACTTTATTAGAATATATTATATTTATTTTTACAGATTATATTATATTTTTTTAAACTTTTTACAGATAATAGACGATTTAAGATATTAGGCCGAGTCCGGGTATTAAAAAAATTTTCATTATATCACATAAAAAATAAGAAATATGTTTGAAAAGTATTTTCAGAAGATAATTTTAATATTACGGATGAATATGAAATTATTAAGCAATTGAAATTAACAACACATTCTCGAAATGAAAAAAAATCAGATATTAACGATTTTACCAAAATCTTGGACCTTAAAAACAAGGAGATTTTCTACGACTGAATCCATAACAAGGATAGCAAAAAATTGGTCATGGAAAAGAAAGGAAGTTTTATCCAATACAAATATTATAAAGGCTGGAAGTGTTTTTCGATTATTTTATAGATATTATTCAAAAATTCTATAATTCCGATTAAAAGAGTATTATGATGCTTGGTAAAACCCGTTTTATATCAATAAAGGTTACAAGAAAGACCAATTGAAGAAAATATTAATATTATGTTATCATAAGGAATTATATTCTAATTTATAAAATGAAATTTAATAAATTTGCAGATTTAAGATCAATTCTTTTCTTTCTAAACTAAAATAATTGGTTTTCTTAAAATCAAAATTTATCAAAAATGTTTTTTTAAAATATATGGATAAAATTTATAATCTAGGCTAGCATGAACTTGAATTTGAAATCACAGAGGAATGTCATTTGCAAACATTGCCGAAAGGTTAGCAGAAAAAGCTACCTTCAGCGTACATACGAGAATCAAATATTAAACACCTTAGATTCATTTAATTTTTATAAAGCAAATATTATTGGAATTAATTACGCATAGGTAAAAGATATCGTGTTCAAAGGTTCAAACCCGTTACCGGTATACAAATGTTTCATGCTTTATTGTCACTTTGGGAAAATTAAATTAAGGTTAAATTATTTTCATATTGTGAAAATTATTGAATTTACAATATATAAGAATTTTTTATTTGTAATTTTTAGATGAGAATTCAATTCATCAAATAAATAAATCAAAGTTCCTTCCTCATATTAAACATAAAGTATTTGATAGCTTTTACTTTTGTTACAATTATTGATTAATATCAAATATTCATTAAGAATATTTGCAATAGACTAATAATTAAAATGCAATTTCTTCTAGCTCAGCCCAACTTGATAATGTATATATTTACTCATGTCCTATATCTATATATGTATATAAAATTTAAGAGAAAAAAAAATACTGCTTTTATTTTATGATAGTTTTCAGTTTTTGACAAATTTTTTAACAATATTTAACTTTATATCATTTTGGAGGCATATCATTAGGCTATATAAATAAATTTAAATTCCGCTTTCAGCTCAAATATATCTAAAATAAAAGAGCGAACATTTTGTTCAAAATGCCCCATATTTCGACATTAGTGGCCCATATCTCAACCGCTGTTTGGAGTTGGAGGCTGAAATTTAATTCTTTACTTAGTTAAATATAACCAAATTCTAGTAAAAATTTTAGAAGATTCTGAGGTTCAGGTTGAAACTCACGTTGTCATGGAATTTTATAAAATGAAGAGTTTCATCTTTTTTGATTGGTAAGTCAGACTTTATACTTTTACCAACTCTTAAATTATTATTTACTTTCACATTTATTTTTCTGCACAAATATATTTGATAAAAAGAGCGGTAATAATAATTTTAAAAATCTTTTCCTAAATAAAATTTCCTATTTAAATTTAAATAAATTTTTAGCTTTATTCCGAAAATAAAAAAACGAAAAATTCTCTTATTCTAGATTTGCTATTTGTTTTTTTTTTGAATTATTTGATCGAACTTGTTAAATTATGATTATTATTGACATCACCATAAATAAAAAAAATTTCAAAAAAAACCCTCTGAAAAATAAAATGTTTTTCGTAATATTTCAAATATTTTAAAATAAAATAAAAGTAAACAATAATGTTTTGTTTATTTCCATATATTTTTTCGATTCGGATAAAAATTAAACATGGTGCTACTATATTAAAATTTTATATATTCCAAAAATGTCAGTATCAATTAACAATATAATTAAGATACTAATATACTATGTGAAAACCTGATTAATTGAAAATTTGAATATTATAAATTTCAAGGCAAATAAAACTTTAGGCCATTTAGTATACATATTCAATTAATATCCATTATTTATTATATATTTTAGATATGTATTCAAAGATTACAGCATATGAGGGTTTTTAATAGTTAATTACTTGAAAATGGTACGTAAAATTAATTTTATTTATTTGATAACATATTTCTAGTCAATGAAAGAAAATAGTAATGAAAAAGCTAGCATTAATGCAAGCACACATCCACCAAAATTTGGTATAATTATAGCTAATCGAATTTTTGTTGGTGGTATTCCACCACAGGTAAAAATATCTGTTTATTATTAACCTTTTGATAATTATGTAATATATAGACACTTGAAACTGAATTATTTAAATATTTTTCTGACTATGGATTAGTGAAGGATGTGAAAATTATAGTTGATAGAGCTGGAGTTTCTAAAGGGTATATTAATTTATTACTTTTTTTTATCTGTATAATTAAGGTATGGATTTGTAACTTTTGAATCAGAAGACGATGTAAAGAAAGTTCAGCAGATAGTATAGTTAATTCTAGATTTTTCTAAAATAATCTAAATTTTAGGCAGAATTATTAATATTTAAAGAAAGAAAACTTAATGTTGGACCAGCAATAAAAAAACAAGTAAATAATATTTTTAATATAACTTTAAGATTGCTTATAGCAGCCAAACTCAAAATTACATACACTTTCAGGTATAATCTCTTTGCATATTTAATTATATTTAAATCATTTAGAATACAGTAATCAAGTTACACACAACAATCCTTCCATGGGAGCATTATTCTATCCACCAGGATTAGGGATTTCACAAATATATATCAACCCTAACAATGGAAATGTTATTAATGGTCTCAATTCACCATTAATTTCACCTTCATCATTTTCTTCAGGTTTTGGTTTTAAAAATTTTAATTACTTTTATTAATTGATAGGATTTTTATTCTCCCCTGGGCCATCTATAAACAATAGCTCTAACAATCTTGGAAATACTAATGGATTAAATCAACATAATTTAAGCCCTCTTTCCCATCAAGTTATTAAATTATCCTATTTTATATTATTATAAGATATAGGTTAATGTCCCAATACTATATTCTGCTCAACCATTTTATTATCCATCTTTTCCAGTGCCAAATGCTGTAATTTAAATATATTCAAATTTATGAATAATATAAATAAATAACAGAATCCATGTGCTAGTCCAATATCACCACCCCAACCCTCATTTCCAGCACAAGCAAGATGGATAAATAATCAAGTATTCTTATAATTAGACATCTAAAAAATTGTACAAATATAGATTACAGGAATGATATCACCAGGAGCTATTATATATTCAAACCCTGAAATTATATATCAACCTAATGTAATACCACTCTCGAATTCTGTTAATCACAACATTTCCCCACATAATTCAATTCAGCAATCCTCACCACCAATTATAACAATGTCCACTCAATTTAATCAGCCTGCTCATTCTAATTTATATAGCTTAATTAATAACAATTCTACAAATGCACCAACTCATTATAAAGATCTTGAAAAAGTTCAATACATGAACCACCTAGCATCCAATAATCCAGATATGTTGATTAGTCATCTTAATGGGGGTGTGCCTTATATAAATCATGATGTAAATAATTCAAATGATTTTATGACCCAATCATTTGGAGATGGTAAAAATAAAATATGTGAATAATTATAATTATTAAAAGAGCATTGTGATATTTTTAATAGTATATGTATAAAATATTTTAACTATTTGTACATAATTCAAATGATCATGGTTAGAGAATGTGATATTAGATTAAAAATAAATTATGAGATTTGTGAAAATACTTATTTCCATTTATTTTACTTATTTATTTTTTTTAAAAAAGCCATCCATATGGAAAAAGATATCCTAATTTAAAACAGGATACATTTTTATATTTATGGTTACACTGAATCTTGGTTTAACCCAAATTTGTGTTTAAACTCTCCTGATAAGAAATGAAGAATAAGTTAATTAGATTATAACCTATTTTATTAAAATATGTTACAAAATCAATTAAAAAGCACCCCTGTCAAATTCTGTTATGGCAATAAGAATTGTAAAAGAAGAGTTGAATAAAATTCAATCCTGGGTAAAATACCCAATTTGAATAAATTTTTAAAAATACATGTCAACTTTTGGTATTTATACTCTTTTAAATATGATTAATAATCAGTTTTAACTAGTGCTGTAAACTTTACTTCAAAAAAGAAACTTATGTCAAAAAAGAGAATGTGTTATTCATTAACTTATGAAAAAAGGAACATGTTACTTGATAAATAAAATATTATATACAAAAATTTCCTGTATATAATATGAATAAAATTATACAAAAATAATATATTATAAGATGGGTTCTTTTTTAATAATTTTTTCCTATATATAATACAAACAAAATTATATAAAAATAATAAATTATAATATAAGATATTTTTATAATTTTTTATTTATTTTTAAAATTTTGATCAGATAAACAAGAGAATTTTAAACACGTTTAACTGGCTCAGAGGATGGGATAAATAAAAATTTTAATTGGGGGAATATATTAAAAAATTTTTGAAAAAAACTTGATAATCTCCAACCAACTGCATCATTTTAATTTTTTATATTTTACTGTATTAAATAGTTTTTAATTTAGGTACAATTTTAATTTTTAGTCAATCTAACATGCAAATGCATTTTGTCAAAAGTGTTCTTTCTTTTTTAATTAAATAAAAAATAATCTATTTTATAATTTTAAAAGTTGATTTCATATTAGTGGAAAATGAACTACAAGATGCTGAATTGGTATATTTATAAAAACCCAGATATATACCTAAAACGAATTTGTTATTCGATATTCGATTCGTATTTTAGGAATACGAATAACACAATTATTCGAGTAAGGAAAATATATTATTCGTCGAATAATTTATTATCTATTATTCGAGATTATTCGACTAAAATAATTAATATATATTGGAAAATAATCATATATTATTTGGAATTATTTCAATTTAATAAAATCTAGTGGAATAATGAAAATTGCGCCAAATTTTAAAATTCCATTTTAATTTATCTCATAATAGACCATTACTTTAGAAATTTCTTTTATGATAGAGATGGACGAAGAAGGTAATTTATATAACATATACAATTATAATAAACTGTTAATCACATCAAGAATGACGGGCAAACCTGATATTTCTTTTCATTTGATGATGGAGAAATCATAAATTTGACTTTTTGCCTAAAGTTTTTACCACTTAATTTGTAAAATATTGCTAATGTGAGTTTTTCGTACTTATTTAAGTTGCATAGCTTTTTGACAATTTATTATTTCCCCACATTAAAAAGAATATTACTGTTTATGTTAATAACAACAAAGTAGTGTTTGGGATTAAAGATCATCATTGAATCTCAGTAGGAATTTTTTATTGCCCAAATCAAATAATCTAAAACTTTCATTATTCTACTATGAAAAATTCACAAAAATTTATATTATCTTTATAAAATTATATTCTTGATTCTTTTCCCAATATAATTAAATTTTATGTACAGTGTTTGGAATTAAAACCTATAAATCCAAATCATTTTTGTAAGTAAATCTATATAAAATTTAATATAAGTACATGTAATAGTATTTTTAAACTTAAAACTTTATTTTTCATTTATATCCAAATTCACTAAAATATATATTATAATTTTGTGATAAATTTTTTATAAGCTATCATCTACATTTTTGGATAATTTATCAATTGTATGAGCAGTTTGTAAAAAATATTTTATAAGAAAATTCTGATATGATGATTATAGGATCTGATGATTTTGACATATATATATTACTGACTAACTTATTGATTGCCATATTGGGTTGGCTGGCTATGCTATAAATATTTAATTTAATAAATAGATATTCAACCTATTGGTATAATAGATATTTCTGAATCAGAAAGCATTGGACAACAAAGCCAATATTCATCATCCACCTCAAATTTTATAAAGTTAGGCTAGGGAGGACGGAAAAATGCAGATATTTGGAAACATTATATTTACCAAGCATCAACAGAAACTGCAAGATGTAAGATTTGTCGGGTTGAAATTAAGTGTTAAAAAAAACTACTTCAGCTTTGATTAATCATTACAAACGATTCCATCAAAAAACTTATAATAATAAATTTATTGAATCAAATTTTGATAATGATATAAATAAAAATCATATGCACAACAATAATGATATCAAACACCATTTATTAAAACTTTTGATCAAATCTAATATCCCATTTAAAATTCTTGCAGCAAATGAATTTAATGGTTTTGTTAAAGCATTAAATCCTAGCATTAAAATATGTTCAATTCCTACATTAAAACAATACATTAATGAATCTTTTGATAATGAATTCCAAAAAATTAAATTGATAATAAACAAATCTAATACACAAATAAATTTTACAATAGATATTTGGTCAAGTCCAACAAATGTCCCATTCTTGGGATTAACCTGCCATTACATTGATGATGAATGGGTACTAAAATCTATATTATTAGACATTGTTCCTTTTACAAATTCCCATTCTGGGGAAAACATATATAAGACATTTTATAGAATCATTAACAATTATAGCATAAATATAAAGTCAACGGCTATTACATGCGACAATGCCGCATCAAACACTACCTTTATAAATACCAGAGTTGTTAAAGTAGCGCGCTACTTGTAGCGCGCTATCTTTTTTGGTAGCTATAGCTAATAGCCGCTACTTTTTTAAAATTATTTAATTTTTTAGCGCGCTACTTTTTTAAAAGTAGCGAAGTAGCGCGCTACTTCGCTACTTTTAAAAATATAATGAATGTAAGTATAAACATAAAAATTTAAATATAATATCATAATTAATTATAATTTATTATTTAATTTTGAAATTTAAATATGTTTTCAATTTTTAATTTATATTTTCAATCTGTGTTAATAATCTAAAATGGCATCGTCCATGGATATCCAAATCCTTGAAAGTGATTCAGATATGGAAGATTCAGTGGAAGAAAATGTACTTAATAGCTCTAATAACGTTTTTCCATTCCCTAAATTTGAAAAATTTTTTAAAATAAATATTAAAACAAAATCTGGATTCAAATTCATGTGCTTAAAATGTAAAAAAAATATATCATCAAATCAATCGAGTAGCTATAACCTGAAGAAACACCTAAAGGTAAATTGTTATTTTTACATTATAATAATATTTATTTTATTAGACTGTTCACGCCAATTGCTATAAGGAAATAGAGAAACATATAAAAAATTTTGGTATAGGAGAATCTTCATTCAAAAAGACAAATACTATCCAAACCAAATTAACGGATAATAAACATGCCAATATTTCACAAAAATTGGCTGATAAAGTTATTGTTGATTTTATTATTGACACAGTTCAGCCAGTGTCTTTGGTTGATAATCCATCATTTACTCTGATGATTAAAACTTTATCCCCTGGCACAACAGTTTATGTCGCCAGACACTTATGAATAAAATAGCCGACAACTTCAAAGTGATGAAAGATGCTCTAATAGTAGAGTTATCAGATATATCTTATGTATGTACCATAGCAGATAGTTGGACACATAACAGAAGGTAAAAACTTATTTATATTTATAAATTGATCTGATTAAATATTTTTAGAGCTTATTTGGGAATCACAGGCCATTGGTTAGACCCTAGGACTTTAAAAAGAAGATCTGTTTTTTGAAATTAAAGATGATTTAATAGAAAATCCAATTGATATTTTTTTTCAATCAAAAAATATTGAAATGAATATTTTTGATAATTTTTCATATATTAAAAATTTATATATAAAATTTAATACCCCCTTGCCCTCAAGTGCTAGTGTCGAGAGATTATTTAGTAAAGCAAAGCTTATACTTTCTGATCGTCGCTCTAGACTTGGGGATGATAATATTGAAATGATATTATTATTAAAATGCAACAAATTAAAATAAATATTTATTTATATTACTTATTTTTTTATAATCTAAACTAACTATATTTTTATATTTATAAATGTTGATTTTTATATATTATTTATTATACATTTACATTATAAGAAAAAAAAAATAAAAAAAATTTGTTTCATTTGTTTCTAAATTTTTTTTTATAAAAAGTAGCTTAAAAGTAGCTAAAGCTACTTTTGAAAAAAAGTAGCTAATAGCGCGCTACTTTTTTTGACAAATAGCGAAAGCGGTAGCGCGCTACTTTTTTTGACAAACAGCTATTACGGTAGCGCGCTACTTTTAAAAATAGCGTTTAACAACTCTGATAAATACCCTTGAAATTAAAAATCCAAGATCAAAAATTGCACATCGCTGTTTTGCACATGTTTTAAATCTTGTTGTTCAAGAAATAATAAAACAAATTGATGAGCAATTAATAAAATTAAGAGGCATTATAAAAAGCATTCGAAATTCTTATAAGAAAACTACTATGATGAAAGAATTTTGTAATTCACAAATTCCATCTATTACATATTTGAAGTTAAAATTAGATACACCTATCAGATGGAACAGCTCATATTCTATGATAGAACGAGCAATACAAATGAGAAAAGCTATAGATCATGTCGTTATTAATAGTTATGATATATCTATTATTCAAGAGAAACAACTTAGTGAAGTTTTATTTATATTTAAATCTAATTTTTATTTTTTAATATAGGATGAATAGACCGCCTTAGAAAGAATACATTTAAACTTAAAAACATTTTATGATTTTACTGTTGCCATATCAGGAGAAACATACCCTACACTTAATCTGGTCATCCCCTTTTATATATCATTAATTGAGCACCTAAGTCTCTTTGATAATACGCTTATAAACGCAATTAATGCGCAACAAAAAATAGTATCATATTATAATTTAACAGATTTCCAAAAATTATATCTGCAATATTAGATCCAAGACTTAAACTGGAATTTTTTGAGTGCTTACCTATATCTTATAATATAAATGTTACAACTATATTTAATAATTTTGAGAAAATGTTTGATGAATATAAAATTAAATATGATGTATCAAAAAGTAAACCTTTAATACAATGAAATATGGATGTCATTTTTAAACAGAATGTTATGCCAATTTCTGAAATTGACACATATTTGAAAGAAGTGAGAATAACGTCAAATAAAAACCCACTAGAATGGTGGAAACTACATGGAGACCGTTTTCCCGTGTTATCTAAAATGGCGAGGGACATATTGTCGATACAGAGATCTTCAACCCCATGTGAGCGACTCTTTTCTGTTGGAGCTCATATGGTTACAAAATACAGAATGTCGTTAAAGGAGGAAACAATCCGAAAAACTTTATGTTTGAAAAATTGGCTGTTGTCAGATTTATCTTCTACATTATAGATATGAATATTATATTGATTTTTCCACATTGTATATAAATATATTATATATGTATGCTTCTATTTTGTCTCACTAATAAAATTTGTTTGTCTTTATCCTTAGTTAAATTTTATAATAAATCTTTTTTAATTCATGGTAAATAAAATTTTCGAATCGAATCGAATAATCATTTTATTATTCATACGAATACGAATAATAAATTATTCGATTCGATTCGTATTTTTGTAGGTATACCCAGATAGACTATTTTTTAAAATGGCCTCAAATAATTTTTATAAACCTGGGCCAGGCTGATAAATTAATTTTTTTAAATGATACTAGCTGGAACTGAAAATATAAAACACTGACTACTCCGAAAAATGAAATCTTTTAATAATCCTTGCCAGTTCATTAAAAAATTTTACAAACTTGGGTGCTTACAGTTATATTTTTTTTAAAAAAGTAATAAATAACCTTAACATTACGTGCACACAGATATTTTTCTCTTCTATTTTCTTTCTGGCATTCTGCTAATCATAGCAATTTTTTTATTTTGACAATGGTGCATTTTTTCTTTAAACAAAAAGGGTTGAAGCACTAAAATGTACCAATTACACACTAATTATTAATATAAGCTTAAGAGTTAACGCCAGAAATTCGATATCATAATTTTATTTGATATTTTTAGTTGGTGAAAATGATTAAGAATTAATAAATAAGGCTATTGACACAAACCATACCTTCTAGCATGGTGACAATTTTTTAAATTATTTACCAATAGTTTTTTCTCCCTTTAAACATATTAAAGATATAATAAACTAATTGAGCAGTGCTTAGGGATTTGGTATAAATTCAGAATTAGTTTTTCCAAAAGCTTGGCTCACCTCACTCTTAAAGCATATTAAGAGTTGGGTGGTGATGAATATCCTTTAATCAGTGTAATTTTTTGACATTTTTAATAATATACTTTTATATAAAATGTATTTTCAAAGGAATCTTGTATATCATTTTTTTGACAAAAAGTTTAACAACTTTTTATATATTAAAAGAATTTAATAAATTGAGGGGGTAATAATGATGTGAATAACTTTTTAACCCTTAATCATAAAGGCCCTAAATATGGTGTGAATTTATATTTTTATATCTAACTTATCTATGTTTGTCTTAATAAAAATTTCCTGGTTTGACAGATTTTACCAAAAACAATTTTTTAGCTAAAAATTATAAAAATAACCCTTTAGTTTATTTTGATTTTAGCAAATTATATCAAGGTTCATATTTTAAAATTTTGTATACATGCTTCGTCATAACTAGTGTGGTAAATTATTTGATTTTACACGAGCACAACCCTGGTTTTTGGTCAAAAAAATGAACCAGAATCAAAGCAACCAAAGTGGTCGACCAAATCCATCGACCCAAGCAGAGTTGTACATTTGCTCAGAACGTAATATTATATTAATAAGATCTTTGAAGATCGCTGCGATCAACGATCTTTAAAGATCTTCATGATATTTATTTTTTTACCCCTTTATTAAAAGCCCAGATGTTTTTCAATTTTATTAATATAATATTTCTTTTATGTTTTATACCTCTCCTCCTGCCTTGATGAAATTGAAAAACATCTGGGCTTTTAATAAAGGGGTAAAAAAAATAAATATCATGAAGATTTTTGAAGATCGTTGATCGCAGCGATCTTCAAAGATCTACAAAATTTTTAAAAAATAAAAGATCTTCAAATTTTACGATCTTCAAAGATCTTGCTCAAATTTTTGAGCTAGATCTCGCTCAAAAATCTTCAAAGAAGATCTTTTGTACAACTCTGGACCCAAGCACAGCATCGACCTGATTTATTTTATATAAATTTGAATATTTTAATATTATCACAATCAATATTTATCAAAAAAAAACATTTTAGTATTTATATAATATTATATTATGAAATAATTTATATTATTTATTTTATTATGAAAATGATTTGATGTTTTATAAAAAAATCGTAAACCACAAAATCGCCAATAGCCAAAACATCCTCAAAAATGGCCGTTATTCAAATAAGGTATTTTTGAATCTTATGATATTATTAATCATTATTTCTTTGAAAATATAAATAGTAAATGTGAAATTGGTGCCTTATGTTTTGAGGAGAATAATGTGTAATGTTTGGGAAACATCATGTCATATAATTCTATAATAGGCTATTCAAAATTAAAATGTATTAGAGAATATTCTCAAGTGCTAGCCTTATATTCAATTTTATTGGTCTTCCTATGCTTAGCCATTATGCAAAAATAATAAGATTTATATTATAAATGTAATTAATTTTTAAATGATTAAATATTCATGCCAATTCCTTCTCAAAAACTACCTTATTTTTTTGATTGCTCTTTGTCATCAAACCAATGTGTAAAAAATAAATAATGTATTTTTGTTTTTTTTAGAGTTTTCTCTATAATTTTAAAGTAGTGAATCACATAGTTGCTTATCACCTTTAGTTTATTCAAATATGTACCAAAAATCTCATATATATATTTCTGTGGGTACCCATGCAAATTAAATTCATATAATTATGATTTTGATAAAGTTTTTTTTATGGTATTTATATAGCACCAAATTTTCTTACAATAATATAAAATTGTCTAATATTCAAAATTTTTATAATATTATGATCACAATTTTATTCCAATTAGATAAAATTTATTATGAATTTTAAAAAACAAATGCTAAATTATATCAATTTATTGGAATTAAATTGAATATCCTTTCAATTATTCCTTGCTTGATGGTGAATTATGAGATTATAAGATATAACATTGTAGGTTCAGCTGATGGAACTTCTAAAAGCCCAATTAAGCAGTATTAATATTTTATTCAAAGTACCATAAAGTTACCAATTAATATTTTATTCAAAGTACCATAAAAACTTTGTTATCAAGAAGTTAATTTTTTTTATTTCATACTTGCTCAAAAATTTTACATAAAATATATTTTTATATCTTTGAATTTATTTTAAAAGCTTAATTTTTCCATAAATTTGCCAGTCCAGTTAGGCCTATTGTGAATATTTGTATCTACATTTCATTTGTATCTTTCTCTGTGTTTTAACATTTTTAATAAGATACTTATGTTTATATCTAAATACTTTATTTTCATGAGAATATTTATACTTTTGCTTAAAAAAGTTAGTATTTATTTTTAACATTTTCTCATAGATCCTGCATTAATTTTAAGTTTTCTTTATTAATTTGCAAAATACTAGGCTTAAATAATTTGATAACAGAATCTTTAAATATTTCAATCTTTAATCATCAAGATCAGGGAAACCATTTCACAAATAAATTCTTCACCACATTCACATGCTACAGTTATTATTAATCATTCAATACACCAACCTAATCATAATATGAGTGGTGGACAAGCATCAAAGCCCGGTACTTATATTCTAATAGAAATGCTTACTGCCTCATTCAATTGATATAATTTTAACTCCAGCATATGCAACAACTACTAGATCTCGGATATTTCTTATTCCTACTGAAAATAGTAGGATATTTGTCTGGGACTATAAATATGCTAAAATTGATGACATCTGCTTAGACAATATATACGGACAGAACTTTCTACATAGTCCCTAGCTTGTATTGTCAGCTCTATACCATTCACATCATGTATGAAAATGTCATGATCCCAGTTATATATGCTCTTCTTCCAGATAAATCAAGGAAGACATATATTCAACTATTTCTGATACATTTTTGTACTTTAAAGGTATAAATTTCAACCCACCAATCGGACAAACTGATTTGGAGGTAGCAACTATATCCGCTCTTAGATTTGTTTCAAATATAGTGATCAAAGGTTAATTTATATATTTAAAATATTCAAGCTTTCATTATTCTTGTTAAATTTTACTAAAATTTTTATTTTCTCAATCAAAAAATAAATTTTTCAATATCACAAAATCGAGAAAATTTAAATAACAATTCCGAGAAATCGATATTCAGATCATATCTCCCCATAGAGAGAGTCTCATCTATTTCGGCTTTGGTCCTCGTGTGTCTTCTTTATTTTTTGTGACCTAGTTCCATTTCCCTTTCTAAGTTTTATCCATTTCATTGACATTATCAGCGTCTACATGAGCGGGAGGGGTAGGAACAGTTTGCATCCTATTTTTTGGTAGGGGATAGGCTGCTTTAATGGGGGTAGGATAAATTTTTTGGGGGGTTATCTATTAAATTTTGAGATGAAATAGGACAAAATTTATTGCTGTAAAAATTTATATTTTATTATAGAATTATTATAATACAATTCATCGACCAAATCTATATATTCAAACAATCATACACATTGTTTTCCAAATAAAACTTTATTTAAAAGGTTTAGATATTTCAGCAAGCTCATAATGCCATAATAATTAATTCATTGTAAATAATGGAGGTTTTAATTGAATTTATTATCTAAAAAATAAATTCTGTATATTCACAAAATATTGATAGTTGGTAGTAGAGATAGGTTAATTTAAGTTATCCTAGATAAAAGTAAAGCCACTTAAAAAATAGTAGCTAATAGCGAGCTACTTTTTTTGACAAATAGCGATAGCGGTAGCGCGCTAATTTTAAAAGTAGCGTTTAACAACTCTGGGCTCTACATAATTAGAGGGGAAAAAATTACAGTATTTGACATATATTAAATATTAGAATTAGTGATCTGAATCAGGCCTAATTTTTCAGACCCGACCCGATTTTTTTTTAAAAAGGTTTTGCCGGCCCGTCACGAACCCCAAATTTTTTTTAAGAAAATTTACCAGCCCGGCTCACACTTATTTAAATGTAGAAATTAATTTTTACAATTACTTAAAAAAGACATATGTTATATATAGTCTAGTTCTATAAATAAAATCAAATATTTTTATTTTACATAAAAAATTTAATTAAAATTGATAAATTTAAAATGTATTTATAAAAATTTCCAAGGCCCAGCCCGTATTTTATTTAAAAATATTAAGCCCGGCCCGAAGCCTGTTCAGGGGCTTCGGGCCTACTTTTGCAGATCTCTAATTAAAATTACCTTATATAAACAAATAATTGAGTAGTTTTTGAGTTATTACAATCGGTAAAGAAAATTATCTGCTTATCTTTGCACAAGGTTTTTCGATTATTAGATGAATTAATGGTAAAATAAAATTTTGACATGACTTTTAAGGAATTTTAAGAAATTTATTTTTAAAGATAAGAATATAAATAAAATAAATAGTGTTGTTAAAGTTACTTTGGCAATGTAATGCAACTAGTTAAGTTAGTTAAATTTGAAAAAAAAATATAACAAGTTACATTTCTTTTTAAATATAACTAGTCACTAGTTACAATTATTTTTAGTGGATAGTAGATTCAGGGCTAGCCGGATCGATTAAATTACTTTAAATCGAATATATATAATATATTTATATTAATATAAATTCAGTGACTAAGATTTAAATCACATAATAATGAAATGGAATGTAAAAAAATTATTACAAATTTAATATTATTTAATTATATTTATTAAGATATATATATAAATTAAGTAACTAGTTAAAATAGCTACAGTTACGAATTTGTAAATGTAACTAGTTAATGGTAACTACTTAATTTGACAACACAAATGTAATGATTTTCATTTATAAGCTTTTTTATCTTCAGCAAAATTTATTTTAGTTCTTATATTATTATTTCTAAAATTTTAAATTATAGATGGGACACACGGATAATCCATTTTTTAGTTAAAAGTTATTTGTCACTAAGCGTTGAACCTTGATCGTACAATACCTGAATGTGGTATATCAAGATATTTTATGACAGTAAAAGTGTTTATCAATTGAAAACCATCTATGTTATTCTATATAAACAACATTCTATATCATTGTTTTCTCTATAAAAGTTTCTCTATAATTGTTTTTTAATGTTTATCACTAAAGACCATTTTATTTAAGTAATTTTTCAATTATATCTTTTTAAATTTTGATAAATTTTTTTAAAAAATTATGGCTGAATTTATTTTAAGTAGTCGAAATAATCAGTTACTACTTCTTGATTTTTACCTATTTCAAAAAGAAAAAACATCTAACCAAACAACCTATTGGAGATGTATTCAATTCCATGTGGATGAATGCAGTGGACGTGCCAGAACTAAGAACGGAATACCTATATTCCACAATCAAAAGCATAACCATGTACCAGACATTGTAGATATTGATGCAAGAAGAGAGTTAAATAGAATTAAACAAGAGGTATCTAGTTCTCAATCTCTGCCCAATAATATAATGGCCGATATATCTAGTAATATATCCATAGCCGCCACTGGAAGAATGCCCAGTTGTTCCTTAATTAAAAGAACAATTCAAAGAAAAAGACGCCAAGTAGGAAGAGCGCCTGCCGTTCCCATGAGTCTGATTGACTTGGTCATACCAATTTAATATCAATTATCCAATAATAATGAGCAATTTTTGTTATATGATATTAGTCATCATGATCACCGATGTATCATATTTTCAATCATCAAAAATTTACAATTTTTATCAACATGCGATTAATGGTATGCAGATGGCACATTTAAGACAGTCCTCCTCTCTTTCAGCAAATATACACCATCCACGGGATGAAATATAATACAATTATCCCAGCTATTTATGTTCTAATGGCATCACATCGCCAACAAGATTACGTTAATATTTTCAATCAAATAAAAAATTACCAAATTTTTTAAAATCCGAAATCCATCATGATCGACTTTGAATTAGCAGCATTATCTGCTTTTAAACAGTCGTTTCCACTGACTGCAATGCGCGGGTGTCTGTTTCATATGTCGCAATGCATATGGCGCACGGTTCAAAAAAATTCGCCAATTTTCAATGCATATAAAACACAAACAAATTTTGCTATGTGTTAATGTCACTGGCATATGTACCAGTTGAGGATGTAATTCATGGGTTCGAGGAATTATGTGCCTCTGAATTCTATCAAGAAAATTTGGATATTCTGTCTCCCTTAATAGAATACTTTGAAGAGACTTGGAATGGGAAAATGATAGCGATGGAGAGGAGGTTGCTAATATTTAGCATTTCTCTATGAATTTGCTATGAATCGACACTATCTCGTGAACCGAATACAAATAATTCAGTAGAGGACTGGCATAGAAGTTTTTATAAGTTCCCATCATTCAACAATCTGGAAATTTATAAAGAGTTAGTAATTATATTATAAATTTTAACATTTTAATTTTTAGCTCTCAAAGACGTAGCCTCAATTGTTACAAATTGTAACATTATTCTTTAGGATTATTGGCTCCACTGTCAAAGAAGGAATATCGCGAAAGATTCAAAAAGATTTTTTAATTGTTGAAGATTTTTATTCAAGAACCATGCTGGATTATTTAAAGGCTTTATCCCACAATATAAATTTAAATGTTTAATTTAATCATATAATTGTATTTTTTATATTGGTATATTATTTATACTATGTTTAGTTGGATTTTTTATGAATAAAAATTTATTTGATATTTCGAAATGAATTGCTAGTTCTTATTTACTAGATTAT